CCAATTCCTAAACGCACCTATATCTGAAGGCGAAATAATGAAATGCATAAATAACTTAAATAATGGCAAGTCATCTAGTCCGACTGACAATATCATAAATGAATATCTTAAAAATACTAAAACTATCTTGCTCCCTGTATACCTTAAGCTATTCAACTGTGTTTTAGATACTGGAATTATACCACACAGCTGGTTAGAAGGTACTATTATACCTTTGTATAAAAACAAAGGAGATCCAAAAGATCCAGCTAATTATCGCCCCATTACTATATTAAGTTGCTTAGGTAAGCTGTTCACCTCAATATTAAACACAAGATTGACGCGCTTCTTAGAAGAAAGTGGCATTCTACTTGAAAATCAAGCAGGTTTCCGTAAAGGTTATTCTTGTAGTGACCATATTTTTACTTTACATTTGTTAACCGATCTTCTCAAAAAAAGAAAGAAAAAACTTTATTGTGCCTTTGTGGATTTTTCACAGGCCTTCGATAAAGTGTGGAGAGTAGGCCTCTGGCACAAACTTCTAAATAATTTTATTAATGGAAAGTTTTTCGATGTAATTTACAATATGTATAAAAATATTAAATCGTGTATATTACATAATGGAGAATCCTCTGACTCATTCATGTCCCAAATCGGGGTCAGGCAGGGAGAAAATTTGTCCCCTGCGCTGTTTTCCCTTTTTCTTAATGATCTTCAATCATATATGCAATCGTATGGTAACGTTGGCATAGAGCTAAAAGATATATATGACTCGACTCTATGGCTTAAACTATTGATCCTGCTATATGCGGACGATACCATTATACTGTCAGATTCCCCGATCGACTTTCAAAATTGTTTAGATACTTTTAATGAATATTGTCAAACCTGGCGACTTAAAGTGAATATAAATAAAACAAAAATAATAATATTTGGTGCTAGAAACTCTCACAACTATAATTTTAAATTAGGCACTCAGGATATCGAAGTTACAAACAAATATCACTACCTCGGTGTAACTTTTACAAATAATGGATCTTTTTTGAATGCAAGAAAGCATGTAGTTGAGCAAGCAACCAAAGCAATGTATCTTCTTCTGTCAAAGTCAAACAACGCTGATTTACCAATAGATTTGATGCTTAAACTTTTTGATCATACTGTTCTACCAATTCTAACTTACGGTTCAGAAATATTTGGGTTTGAAAATCTCGATCAACTTGAAAAAGTACACAATGACTTCCTTAGAAAATTAACAAAAGCTAGAAAAAGCACCCCAATGTATATGATTTACGGCGAGCTTGGGAGATACCCTATTGCTATAAATGTTCAAGCCCGTATGATCTCATTTTGGAATAGGCTTATTATAGGAAAAGACCACAAATTGAGTTATCAATTATATAACTACGTTCTTAATCAAACTAATTATGAATTTAAATGGATTAGCAAAATAAAAAGTATTCTAAATGGGGTAGGGAGACCAGATCGTTGGCAAAATCAACATAATATAACTGAAAAATATATACATAGATCAGTAAAACAAACACTTATAGATCAATTTAGACAAACATGGCATGCACAAATTCTGTTGTCTAATAAAGGCATAATTTACAGTAACTTTAAAGAAAGCCCAGATTTTGAAAACTATTTCAAGCTTTTACCAATGCGTGATTGTATCACTTTATTTAAATACCGAACTGCAAATCACAGGCTCCCAATTGAAACGGGCAGATGGGATGGAACCTTACTTCAAGAAAGAAAATGTAATTTATGTACCCGTAATGAAATAGGTTCGGAACGACATTATTTGTTAAACTGTGACCGTTTTCAAAATGAAAGAAGAACACTCTTCAGACAAATCAACTTTCATGAAAATACCGTATCCGATTATGGTTTTAAGCTTCTATTAACATCAACTTCCGTAAGGACACTTTCGAAAGTATGTGGCTTCATACGACTTATAATAAAAAAATTCTGATAGGCCCCTATACAAGTGATAAGATACCAATGCCTCTCTATTTACCTCTTTTTATTTATCTTTACTTATATTTATTTTTGTTATTTTTGCACATAATATTAATTATGAAAAGAAATGTCATTTTATATGTATTTTTTTAACTACAAAGCTTACAACCAATTCATACTCTTATGTAACTATAAATGAACGTATGCACTTACCAGACAATGTCAATTAAGTCCAATTCACCTTTATTATACGATAAATTAACCTGTAATAACACTACTGTACGTAAACATGCCCCTATTCTGTACGGAACAATTATTTTTTATTTTTAGCTTTGTTTCAGTAAGTTATCCAATGGCAAACTCTGAAATCTTTACTAACAGCCAATCGTATTCTAGTAGTAATCCAATTGACGGTTATGTGGAATTTCATTCATAAATAGCGGACTACTTTTCCCGTGTTTCGCACTCGATTCATGAAAATTAAATAAATAAAAAAATTAACCGAGTGACATCAGTATTTATTTAATGTTGATTTAATGTGAGCATTCCCCCGTCTCCAGCAACCCACGTGTTTCTAAATAGCAATCAATTTTTAAAACTTATATTTCATTTCATTTTTTTTTTCTTTTCTCTTTCTCTTTTTCTTATGATTTTGTATCATTGTAACACTCATTGACCGGATACTGTATTATTTTGTGTTCATGTAAATTTCGTAATAACCCCATGTTGTACGATATGATATCTTCTTGTACCTGGGTGAATAAAAGATATGTTCTGTTCTGTTCTGTTCTGTTAAAAAGAAACTGGTAAACACGTTTCTACATAACAGTATCAAACATATCACGTAACGACAGTCTAAGTTGAATACGATGCAGACTATAAAAAAGGACAAAATTGTAAACAACTTGCAGTTACATTCTGTATTCGCTTAAACAGCTAAGTTTGAAAGGTTAAAAATGAAGGTAAGGCAAAGAATTTAAAAACTTACTTTTAGTAATACTGACATAATGGCAAAATATGGAACTAAAAGTCACATGATTGAAAGACAATCAGGAAACCATGGGTATTAAATAATTTATTCAGTACATTTAACTGATCTTTAGTGAACCTCTTACATTAATATTTAATCTTCGGACTCCCATTTTCTTTGTCTATACATGTATTCAGAACTAAACGCGGAAACGTAAATTATAACAACAACAACAAACGGTTCCCATTAACTAAAGGTATTTCATTAAGGATAAATAATTAGGTCTTAGAAGACATCATATTTGAGTAGGTAACAATCACTTAGAATACATAAAGAGCGGTGCAAAGTATCTGTCTCGGTACCTCTTGAAAAAAAGAACAATTACTGTCTCAGTCTCGTGGTAATGAAAATTTACATAAAATTCCCTCATTGCATGATGACTAACGGCCCAATGCTCATATTTTTAACATTACCTTTGCACTTGACCTTGGCCCTAGGGATTTGAATTTACGTACATAAAAATATGCATCACATATTGAACATATGTGCAATGCCTTAATACCCAAACGTATTTTACACAAAGACCTTGTTCGTGATGGTGAGCACTTGTGTCAATGCAACACTTGTGCCTATGCATGTAGAAATTTACATTGGATCATCGGTTGTGATCATGTCTGACCTTGCATATATTGAGCTGAATTATGTTTCAAAGTTTTCAAAATGTGTGATATAATTCATCAATGTTAAAACAACAAAGTTGTCTATACACAAATTTGCATAATTTGGATGACCTTTGACCTTCACGTCAGACCTTGACCTTGGGAAGTTGAACTGGTCAACATTTTTGCCGAGTGACATTAAAATCCCTCAATGTTTTACAATGAAAACCCCTCTCTTTTGACCTCTAAGTGTTACTTTGATCTTTTGACTTCTTCATGTGCGAAACACTAATTCTCATGTAAGTTTATATTTGTATAAAGAAGCACTGAAATCAGTCTATACATGTAGCAGATATACTCCTCATTTCATCATCTGAAGTGACCCTGACCTTGTTTATATTTATATGGATTATGCTGGTAACACGTAAGTCGCATGACTGTAAGTACATTGGTGTTAACTCTCTTTACAAGACTACTTTGGTGACCATACGTACATTCTTTATTTTTATCTATTGACCATTAGTGTGACCTTGATCTGAGTTTTGCGCACGACACCCTGCCTCACAATGAAGAACGCTTTGCAAAACTATATTAAAACTTCTCAATTCATGTAGTTTTGCTTCGGACAAGCATATTCTTTTGACTGCTAAGTGTGACCTTGAACTTTGACTAAGAAACCTAATTCATATGCGCAACTCTATATATCATAGTTGTGTTTCATCAAGTTATACATAAAAGCTTAAATTCATTCATGCATACAAGACCTTGGTAACAGAGACCTGGATTTATCGTACGACACTCCGCAACACAATGGTGAACAATTGCGCAATAAATCTCTGAAAGTTCGTAGGTTTGCTCTTGATAAGCATTTTCCTGAGGGAGACCCTGACCTGGAGACCTGCTTCGAGTCCACAACATAATTTGTCACGTGGGTGCAAATTTGAATCAAGTAATACTAAAACCCAAGGTAATCTTCGGACAAAATCTGGCCATTTCATCATCTAGGGTTACCATTTGTGCCTTAAAGTAATTGTCCTGTATTGTGCTGGTAAGACTTAGTCTTAACCCCTTCCCCCCTATTCTAGAATACTTAATTGTATATATGCACAACATTTCTACTCTTATTTGACCTTTGACCTCTTAGTGTGACCTTGACGTATGACCCTGAGATCAGCTTCATGTGCGCCAAATGACAAGCTTTTTCATAGTTGTGTTTATCTGTATCTAGTAATACATATATCCATAAATGTAGATGGTTGTTGTGTATTTGTATCAAGTAATACATATATCCATACATGTAGAAGAAATTCTTCGGGCAAAAATGGACGCCGGCCGCCCGCCCGCAAGGGGTGGCCTCATTATACAACTGTTTTTCAAACAAGAGTTTAAAAAGTTAACAATATTGCAAGGAAAACAGAAGAAACGACATATTTTTCAAGTATTTTCACATTTATTTTTGCAATAACAACAATGTAAAAGTTCTTAATACAAAACTTTCACAAACATATCTGATACGACACACCCCCTCAGGATGACCACGCCCCCTCAACATACAACATACCCTCAAAATGAGACACATACTTCTCGTGCTTTCATCTTTTAACAACAAAATACAAAATACATTATATCCATTATATCTCTAAATTAAAGCGGCACTCCTATGTCGCAAAATGGAAAAGTAAAATTTACACAAACTATTAAAAATTAACAAAAGGTAACGAAACTAATTATTTAATATCTATAACAAAATCTAGGTACTACTACATCTTTGTAGATCAAAACGACAGAAATAATGAAAAAAATGTCTACAAACATTTAATAACTCCGATTAAGTAACCAAGTATTTTGGATTTTGTGCAGAAAACAATAATTCTACTAAATTAAACCGATAATAATTGAAATTATAGTGATTTTACAATCACAGTCCGTGACAAAAGAAAAACACATTATAGTGTGCAGCGAGTACATAAATCATACAAAATATGTTAATATCTAAGTTTCAATAAAGCATGTTCAACGTTTCAGCTCAAGACTAGATATCATTAGAGGTCTTATACATGTATATAGCACCTTTGAGGGATTTGTTCACACTTGTACATTTTGTTCTCTTTTCAAATTATAAATGGTATATCAAATTCGAGGTATAAGTCCTACAATCATACTTCAGTCTTTCTGTATGACCCCAAATTATAAGATCTAACAAGAACTGTCGGAGGACAGTAACGCTCGACTATTCGAAAATTTGTCACAAGGGTGTTTCATTGAGTATAATAATGCTTACCTATATGAATACATAAAATTGTCCGAAAAGGTACAAACTCTTCAAGTTTCAATACATTCCCTTCAGTAAGTATGGAGATACAAGCTTACATGCAAAAACTTAACCAAGAATTCATGAGTCGAAAAAGGGGCATAATTATGCAAAGAAGCAAATCAGAGTTATGGGACTTGTACTAATCATCTTAGATAATCACAGAGAACAAGTGTGTGAAGTTTCAATCCATTCCCTTCAGTAGTTATGGAGATACCAGCTTACATGCAAAAACTTAACCAAGAATTTCTAAGTCGAAAAAGGGGCGTAATTATGAAAAACAAAAAACCAGAGTTATGGGACTTGTGCCAATCATCTAAGATAATCACAGAGAACAAGTGTGTGAAGTTTCAATCCATTCCCTTCAGTAGTTATGGAGATACCAGCTTACATACAAAAACTTAACCAAGAATTTCTAAGTCGAAAAAGGGCATAATTATGAAAAAAAAGCAAATCAGAGTTATGGGACTTGTGCCAATCATCTTAGATAATCACAGAGAACAAGTGTGTGAAGTTTCAATCCATTCCCTTCAGTAGTTATGGAGATACCAGCTTACATGCAAAAACTTAACCAAGAATTTTTAAGTCGAAAAAGGGGCATAATTATGAAAAAAAGCAAATCAGAGTTATGGGACTTGTGCCAATCATCTTAGATAATCACAGAGAACAAGTGTGTGAAGTTTCAATCCATTCCCTTCAGTAGTTATGGAGATACCAGCTTACATACAAAAACTTAACCAAGAATTTCTAAGTCGAAAAAAGGGGCATAATTATGAAAAAAAGCAAATCAGAGTTATGGACTTGTGCCAATCATCTTAGATAATCACAGAGAACAAGTGTGTGAAGTTTCAATCCATTCCCTTCAGTAGTTATGGAGATACCAGCTTACATACAAAAACTTAACCAAGAATTTCTAAGTCGAAAAAGGGGCATAATTATGAAAAAAAGCAAATCAGAGTTATGGGACTTGTGCCAATCATCTTAGATAATCACAGAGAACAAGTGTGTGAAGTTTCAATCCATTCCCTTCAGTAGTTATGAGATACCAGCTTACATACAAAAACTTAACCAAGAATTTCTAAGTCGAAAAAGGGGCATAATTATGAAAAAAAGCAAATCAGAGTTATGGGACTTGTGCCAATCATCTTAGATAATCACAGAGAACAAGTGTGTGAAGTTTCAATCCATTCCCTTCAGTAGTTATGGAGATACCAGCTTACATACAAAAATTAACCAAGAATTTCTAAGTCGAAAAAGGGGCATAATTATGAAAAAAAGCAAATCAGAGTTATGGGACTTGTGCCAATCATCTTAGATAATCACAGAGAACAAGTGTGTGAAGTTTCAATCCATTCCCTTCAGTAGTTATGGAGATACCAGCTTACATACAAAAACTTAACCAAGAATTTCTAAGTCGAAAAAGGGGCATAATTATGAAAAAAAGCAAATCAGAGTTATGGGACTTGTGCCAATCATCTTAGATAATCACAGAGAACAAGTGTGTGAAGTTTCAATCCATTCCCTTCAGTAGTTATGGAGATACCAGCTTACATACAAAAACTTAACCACAGGGACGCCGACGCCGACGCCGACGCCGACAAATGGGTGACTGCATTAGCTCGATTATTCTGCGAATAGTCGAGCTAAAAAACGGCTGCTAAATTGCAACAAATAAATACACATCAACAGAAACAAAAGTTATTACAAAAGACACTTAAATTATTTCCCTCAATTGCAAACTTGCTATCGGTTTATGTTTGAATTCTTTTTTTAATTAAACATGATTTCTCCTTCAAACAGACGCAATTTTTAAAATGCACCATTTCGAGGCCAAGAAAAATAATAGAATACACGTTATACACGTTATTACACAATGTATTATCTAAGGTAAAATATGAACACAAATGATATAATATAATATGAATATTTTCCAGTACATTTAAAATGTATCATATGTACATGTATATATTATGTGCGTGTACGTAAAGTAAACATTTTTAATATACAACTAGCTTAAGGTTAAACTACTGGGTAGTTATTCTTATCTTTACACCGGTTTGTTACCGACGTTTGTCGTAACATCTCACAACTTCGCCACAAGCATAATGCAAATGTATATACAGCTCAAACCCTCTAGGACCCGATTTGTTGATTATTAAGTTTGACCTTCTCCGATTGGTTGATTATTTAGATGACCTTCTCCGATTGGTTGATTATTAAGATTGACCTTTTCTGATTGGTTGATTATTTAGATTGACCTGATCTGCTGGGTTGATTATAAAGATTGACCTGATCTGATTGGTTGATTATTAAGATTGACCTGATCTGATTGGTCGATTATTAAGATTGACCTATCAAAAGGTCATATTTTGAAATAGGATTGTGGCATTCGATCCCATCTTAGATTCATTTCTAATACATGAAATGCATACGCCATTTCGCTATTGAAAACATCAATTACTTTCATCCTACTAAAATATACTGTCATTCGAATGGTATAAAAGAAAGGAATAAAAATCTTTCTGAAATAAGGGTTATTCTAAATATTGCGATTTTTTTTGTAATAGACTCTAGGAGCATATCCACATATTGCCACAGGCACCCACGAGAGTGAAACTACGGAACCAACAAAACAACAGATCTGACACTGTTTCTGTTAATCAACATTATATCTTAACACAAATAGTCGTTAACCAAATTTTACCGAGAATAAAGTATAAACATGACGTGTTCAAAGATATGATACTACAATTTCGTGGACAATCATTACTAAATATACGAATTTCCACCTATAAATTACTAGCTACAGTGGATCAAGGAAGTAATGTATATTGAATGAAGATTTCTTTGTATCGTTAACTTACTAAATTATTTGAATTTTCAAAGAATCATCAATTTTATCGCGGTTATTTGATTCAGATTTATCAGTTGCGGTTCATTTGTTTGATAGGTGGTTTTCCAAAAACCAAAACAGGTTAAACGATACATGACAATAAATAATTGGTGATTTCCTACACAGGTTTAACTGTAAATGACATTATATCTGCTTTTACCATTAGCATAGATCTATTTATATGTACATACTATTTGTTTTCTCTCCAAGTTAGAACAAAAGTATCAGACATTATGCACCAAACTGTCTAGAAATGATTTCTCTAGGTATACAATTTACATATGAATAAAACGGTCATTAATTTGAACGTGGAATTCATGCAAAATAATCTCATTATTTTAACATAACAAAACAAAACAAAAAAATATTACTAAAATAAAGTGCAAAAAGGTCCTTAAACTTTCTACTCTATTATGAAATATAATATTTGATTAATTACAAGACACCAGACAAAGACAACGCTATCTTTTTATGTTATGATAATTTGAAGATTTAACTGAATTAAGCTTAAAATTAATAACTTTACTCTTGAAAATCTACGTCATGCAAAGGCATGCACGCCTTTGGCATATTAAGAAAAAAACAAATAAATGCTCATCGTTAAACTTTCTACTATTTTACAAACATGTCATATTCAAACATAAGTGCTTGACCTCAAATACATATAATCAGGTAAAACGGTCTTTCATCAGACCTTGTACGTCCTTGATCTAAAGTATTTATTGTTTGTGTCCTACTTTCAAGACAAATATACACAACACATTTAAATGGTGATAAATGGGCCAGTTGTAAAGATATAGAACATACACCAGAACTGTGTTTTACAGTGTCTATTCTAGAATGGGGGATGGGGGGATTCACTCATACCTTTGAAAATCTCCCCCCCCCCCTATTTTTTCAGAGGCAGGGGGAAACTTTTACATAGAGCTCGAGAAAGAAGAAAAAAGATCAACAAATGTAATGAATTCTTACTTTTCGATAACCCCCCACCCCCGGCGTTTTTTTAAATCCTAGAATAGACACTGGTTTTATATAAAAATTAGTACATTTGTACAATGAAATTAACGGCACTGCATGCTTTTGGATTGTCAAGTCACATCTATACAAACTTTAGTTTTATTACCGTTTAATATTCATCAAGTAATTTTTTGTACCTTATATCTACTATTAACTTAAATTAAACAATCAGTAACATCAATGTAAATTTGAAATGTAACAACATAATATCAGAGTCTAGGTAAAATGAGAACATACTATATGTATTCATCAATCAAGATAAAATAAAATTATTATCTATTATAGTAAATAATTAACTGATATTCATTCTACCTTGCATGAATATACGATAAATCTATAATTATTTTCTATATGGGTCAGCAAAAATGAAATATAACACTGATTTAAATGTTTCCTAATGTATATTTGAACAAAAGGTTAAACAAAGTATGCTCGTATGACCTAAATTTTCCAAGTACTTGTGTACCTGTAGATCAGATAATAGCTCGGCAGATATTGACTCAATGAGGAATGAAAACCAAGCATAATTCTATATTGATTCATATAAGCATAAATACAGTTAAACACTTCTCAAAATTAGTTATACTGTCAGTCACAAAATAATTAATTTTAAGAATTTAAAATAAGGTCAACATCCTAGTTAACCACGGAACAAGCACGTCCAGGATTTGCTCAACACACGGTGTTCACGTGTAAAAAGAATGAATGCAATCCGCCAGTATCGTGTTCGTGTGTGTGATAAATTGGTAACTGACTTAATGCATGGAATCACCTGTTACTCTGGAATGCTACGACTTCGTGTACGTTACCTAGCTGACATATGTTATATATGTGGTCCAACTTTTCTCCCTATTGGTGCATTTTAGCAAAGAAACTGAGACAATGTAATGTAACTTTCTTTTACAAAATTATCTCCTTCCTGTGACCGCAAAAGATGATACAATTTGAATTGCAATAAATGATACAGTGATCGGAAGTAAAACATGCTTGTAATTAAACAAATAATCGTAAAGACTTGCAGTAAATGATACAGTTTACACCGTGACCAAGCAGTCAACTTGCACGTGTCCAAGCAGTCAACTTACAGGTAACCATGCAGTCAACTTGCACGTAACCAAGCAGTCAACTTGCACGTGACCAAGCAGTCAACTTACACGTAACCATGCAGTCAACTTACATGTGACCAAGCAGTCAACTTACAGGTAACCAAGCAGTCAACTTACACGTAACCAACCAAGCAGTCAACTTACACGTGACCAAGCAGTCAACTTGCACGTGACCATCCAGACAACTTACACGTAACCTTGCTGTCAATTAACACGTGACCAAGCAGTCAATTTACAGTGACCAAGCAGTCAACTTGCACGTAACCTTGCTGTCAATTTACACGTGACCAAACAGTCAACTTACACGTGACCAAGCAGTCAACTTGCACGTAACCTTGCTGTCAACTTAATGTACATTAAACACATGCAAGTAATTACTTATTGTCCTGATCTATAATAGCGATACACGATAAGCCACGGGTATTAAATATGCCTCTTGAAACAACTGTACAACCTATTCTTTAATGAAAAAAATGGGTTTGAAACTAAACTGTAAAGAACGGAGTCATTTCCATATGAGAGTGCAATGTAACAATGTCATAAAAAACTGAACCTGAATCACTTAGCGTCATAAACGCCAGCAATATCAATTCCAGGTGAAATTCGCCATTAATATTACCATCAAATAAAACCGTAGAAATAAATTTAAAAAAAAAACTAAAAATATAAAGAATATGATATTCTAACATGTCACTGTCACTTCAGTTACACTTTTATTCTAATTCCTTAAAGCTCTGTCACATGTTGTACATTAGAAAAGCTTTCTTCATTAGATAATATGAAAACAGTGTGATTATTAAACAAACAAAAAGAAGACAAAAGCAAGACTAAATTTTTCCCCATTGCTGAATAGACGAATGCATATCTGGCGTCTAATAACCTTTACCTTGACACTCATTTGATGTTTTTCTCTGATGTATAAATTTATCAACTTCATCACATTACAGAAGTTGGTATGTATAGGGTAAAAATCATTGTGTTGAAACTAAGAACTTTAAAGTGACAATGTTATGTGTATTTTGAAAAAGAACCGAATGAAAATATATTATGCTGGAAAATTACACTAACTAGCGAATTATTATGCAAATCAAAATAAAGAGTTTGTCTAGATATTGCTAAATAAATGCAAATTTTGTTGCAAAACGTAACAAAAATATGAAACTCAGAAATGCATATGTATTTTGTATTACATAAACTGTAACATCTTCATTTTAAAATATACATGTACATAGTTAATCTTTTGCACATGCAAAAAAGCCGTAAACAAACAAATGTGTACATTCAAAAATAACTTACATACAAAATACAGGCGTATAACAAGTATAAGAGCTACATTTTTGTATTTTAGAACACTATACATGTTCAATTAGTTAGATACTTTATAAATATCACTACTACTACATCTATATACATTCTACATGGGATTAGACAAAAACAGTAATCTGTTAATCTTTGGGAATCTTAGGATATTGACCTTCTTATCACAGATTTCGGCTGTCAGTTTGAATACACACCTCGCTTTGATTTAAGAGTTGAAATGTTAATTACCAACATATTCAGTTAAACTGCATAAAAAGTATGTACAAAGTATTTAGATATGGCTAAGATTATAAAAAAACAAAAACAAAAAAAAAAAACTAAAAAATATATAACGAAACAAAAGAAAAAACAAATAAATATATAAATATCCCTCAATGTAGCGTTAACCTTTAGACACTAAAATGACCTTGGAATTTTTGTAGAGGTATTAGATCTCTAATCTATGTTCTGACAATGTCACGATTAATATAGTATCATCCATATGTAACGATTAATATATTATCATCCATATGTAACGATTAATATATTATCATCCACATGTCACGATTAATATATTATCATGCATATGTTACATGACCATTAACATATTAACATTCATATGTAACGATTAATATATATTATAATCCATATGTCGATTGTACTTTATATTAATATAAAACATATTGTCTTAGCTATGGCACATAGAAAATGTTATTATAAACTTTTAACATAATGAAAACAAGTATTCTTTATTACACTAGCGAATATATACATTTTTTTTCCAATAATGTATGCATTTTTAAAACAATTCAACTTTTCTTTCCCTTTCATTTTTAGTAAAAGAGCATTCTAAACTTAAATAAATAGAAGAAGTTCCCAACTTAGAAGCAAAATGGAAACAAAACAATATTGGTAAAGAATTGAAGTTAAATTTGGGAACAAAAACCTAATTCTCAAAATGCCCCGCTTCCATGATATTTGTATTTTATGTACATTTATACATAGAATAAACTTCCTGCTAGTATTAAGTAAGCTTTAAAATAAATAAATAGAAAAGGGCGGTCTGCTTACAATATAGATTATACTGACAGTTTCTGACCAACTTTTGCATCTAAGGTATTTATACATGACTATAAACAAACATACATTAAACGAAGTGAACCCAGCTTGCTTCGAGGTCCGTCGGCGTCGTCTTGGCGTAACACAGAATTTCATAATTATTCCCATAATTGCTGTCCCAGTACACTGTATCGTTCACTGTATATGAAACGGCAAAAGAAATTTTCGAACCGGGACCAACGTTCGATGGCGCCACTATTGTAAATGAAAATCTGTCTGTTGCACCATCACACGAATTTTGAATGTATGACGCCATGACGTCATAAAATGTTACCCAATTATTAATAGAATACCTCACACGTACACACTTATGATAACCTACGTTAGCAACACGTACAACACCAGTAATACTCATATCATTGATAACACAATTTTCTAACGACACTTTTTTAGCCATTACCTTCCCCATGAAATCAGTCGCTACACAGGGTTGAGAAAAACATAAATCCAAATACCGACTCCCAACATCTGGCCGAGCTTCCTCAACACCGACTTTGAGATCGGAAATCGCCGACGCCGGAATTTTCGGGGGATTCTCTGCGTCGATAACGTGACGTATTGATTCTAAATCTAAACCCATTGCGTCTGCGAAACGAACCATCTTTTTACGACTTGGGGTACCAGGTGGAGTTTTATTTGTTTTCAGTGACGAAGATTTCCGGAGTTCTGCTTTATTTATATTAAATTCCGGCTCTTCATATACAGGGCTATCCGGAACATGAAGTAAATATCTTTGAACACCCGAGTCTAACGTAACACCCTGCCGTTCTATTTTAAGCTGAGCTAGTTTTGCTGGCAAAACACTTTCCTCCGAAACAGCCTTTTTCATTTCGCTCGCTAAAACTTCACTTTTAACGGATTCCTCTGGGGGTTGAATTTCACCGTCTGACGAAGTTTGTCTCAGACTCAGAGATTTTTCCAATTCTTTACTTAATGCATCCGAGAGACATTTTTGATCACACGAAGTTATTTCTTCCGCTTCGTCTGGAGATGCGACAGAATCTAATGAAAAGTAACTAGGGTCACTTCCGGCCGAAGCTCTGCTATCCTGAGACTCTACTGATTCAAGGTCATCCATCATATTCACGAAAATTCCTTCTTCTGACACTTCTTCGTCACATTTGGGCTTAACAACGGGGTCAACCGATGTCCCTTCCCCTCCATCATTATCAACATTTCGACGTCGCTGGTCGGTTGGATTCTCGGAATCACACATGATCTGCAACCAGTCCGCTTCAGGTTCAAGCCTGGTTTGAAAATATTCAAAAACCCGCGGATTTTTGGGTTTATTAACATATGATGAGCAGGTACTAAAATTATCTAAATAACTCTCTTCTGAGTAAGAGAGGTTCCGAGGAAAAAACCTTAAGAAAAAATCTTCCGGTAGACATTCATATTCGACCATGGTAATTTATGCATATTCGAATAAATGGTTCTACATTTAACATATCCAGTGCACTGTCCATAACTATTTTATCTATGCATATTTTGTTGAGGAAAATGTCACTAACACCGATTACAGAAACCCGTTATAGCCCAATTTTTTTACAGTTCCATCATTTCTTAACTTAAAATTCGACCTTCACCTCTTCTGAAAAAAAAAGAAAGTCATTGAAATCAGATTATAAAGAACAAGGTCGATAAACTTATATTGTATAACCAAATATCAATATTTCACTTATCAAAAACAATATCAAACTCACATTTGAAGAAATAATATCCCTTAACATGATGAAAACACACTGTTTCCCCTCTGATGTAGCAATAGGAAGTATTTACATATTCGATCTATCGTCCTTGATAAATACACTCGTTACTAAATATAACACCGATGAAGTTCTAGGTCATTCTCGTATTTACTTTCGGTTTAGGTACACGCGTGTATTATGTAAGTATTACACATCATTATCAATTGAATGATTGTGAAATAACATTGCTTTTATACAACATTACATAATAAAGCAGAATACAGAACTGAACATACAAAGAATGGTTTAAATCCACTATCTAAAACTTTTATTCGCTTTTGTGACGCGTTGGGAAAATACCTAAATGCTAAAAATAGAACGCTGTGTCAATTGACGTAAACGGTGAGCGTAAACAGAATGTATACATGCCGTTTAGCATGTTTATTGTGGTGTGTATACCAGCTGATTGGGGTCAAGATATTAAAGGGGTCAAAACTTAGAAAGTACTTTTTGTAATAAACTTTACATATGACTTGGTGAGTGTTTGTTAAAAATGCGAAGGTCAATTCACACGTGTATCAATAAACTTATATGTGTGCTTGTTTCTCTAAAAAATATATTAGATGCACATTACTGTATATTTATTAAATTTTGTCGAAATAATGCTAAGTACTTGTTAACATTGACAAACTTTCGACTGTTTCTTAAATGGATTAAAACATTTATAATCGATGAAATTTATTTTAAAGTTTTAACAACGGTTTCAAATTGGGTTTAATGCGCCTTTGTTTCGTACATTAACATCTGCTGAAGCAGGAGTCTGAGCCTGATGCTTTCGACGTCATTAAATTACGTATGGTGGCTGAACAAAAATCATAAAGAAATTACAGTGAAGAAACTGACATGATAACAAATCCATAAATTAAGGACGGGCTTGTATACATATTACAGGGATGGATGGATGTATGGATGGATGTAGATAATGGTGGATGGATATGAGGGTCTATATCCGCCCGTAAAGGCAACAATTAAAGTCATCTTTCGCTGTCGAGTACGGAACCCATGGTTAATTTTGAAGCACATATAGTGGTCGGGAGTTTCCATGGAGCATAAGCATTGGACCGAAAGTAGGTCACTGTACGGCGACCAATGAGAACCTAAATGTACAATAACGCAAGGTGCTGCAGCCCTTAAAGTCAAGCAAAGGGCATGCCTTTCAAGTCGTCATTTCGTGCATTGAGGCTTTCGCACCTTAACACCTTTAATTCCCCGTCGTCCCCGCCTACTCTATGCTTTAGTCAGGACATCGGCAGCTGGTCCACTGGTACAAGTTCTGGTCTTCATCACGAGTTTTTAAAATCTTTTGCTTATGCCCTGAGCTTCCTCATCGACGTAAATAAACTGATTTTAATAACACAAAGTGACTTGAACAAATGATTTTTTGACAGAATTGAAAATTGAAAAATGACTTTGACCTATATTAAAATGACATTGACGTGGTTTTACTACCTGACTACACAGTAACAGTGCTGCCGCATAAACGTTGTGATTTTGTTCATACGTCAACATTTATACAGGAAGACTACGTTTATGCGGCAACGCTAAACACACAAAAAAAACAACATTTCTCATATTGGGTGCAACTGTAATTTTTGATATTTAGTTAAATATCATAAAGGTAAAAATAAAATTCTGATATTATCAAAAAATATAGTGATGATGATTATGACGGTGATAATTATGATAATATAGGTGGTAGAAACGGTGAATATGGGGATGGAATGAGGTGCTGTGATGGTGGTATGAATCGATGGTGTTGATAGAGATGGTGGTGGTGGTGATGATGGTGGCAGTAATAATTATATTTGGGATGATGGTAGTGGTGATGGTACTGGTGGCTGGTATGGTGATGATGATGTTGATGATGGTACTAGGTCTGGTTTGATGCTGTTGAAAATGATGACGGTGTGTATGATGTTGATAGTGGTTTATATGATGATTATGGTGGTGAAAATGATGCTGATTCTCTTGGCGCGGATGATAATGATGATGGTGGTGGTAGTGGTAATGATGATGACGGCAGTTTAGATGATGATGGTAGTTGTAATGATGACGGTGATGATGGTGATGATGATGATGACGACGACGATGATGATGATGATGATGATGCTGATGATAATGGTGATGGTGATGATGATGATGATGTAGGTGGCAGTGATTGTAATTGTTATGATGATGTTGTTGATTATGGTGATAATTAAGGGTTGGGGCATTTAGCGATGATTTTACCAGCAAAAAGTGCTTGTAACATAACTATACTCTATCGCCATGTACTACTCTTTTATTAACTTGTACGTGAATTTTTTAATGTAAAATTTCAGTGCACATCTAAGGAAACGTACTTCATAAATTCTAAAATGAACTATGATAACATTGTTTCTCCAACAGATCATGTTGTGCTCCACTAAAACTGAACAATGTTAAAGAATGTGTTCTTTTCTGATGCAGTATTATTACGTCTTGTGTACTGACGGCTGTTTGACTGCTGCTGAACCATTTTCATGCTGAGGCCAACGGCCAAGTTTTGGCAAAAGGTCTGCTGTTTCTTCGAAAAATGCAGCTAAAAATAAAACAGTTTTACAACTAAAGATATTCAGTTAGTGGAAAACATAGTGTGCCTAAAGAAAATAAACAAGCGATTTTAATGTGTTAATAGTCAGTTATTGTCGCTAAGATTCAATCTTCTATCTGTTTAGTGTGTTTAATTTTTTGCTAACCGGAGCACAAAGTGATTTTGGTGCACTATTAAGACAGCACGATATTTGCGTGCGTCGTCGGTTGTGAACTGTGCATTTTTAAACAACATTTTTCATCTAAACAACATGGTAGGTTTTTTTTTTACCAAACTTCACACAGAAATGATCCATGGCTGATACTTATATGAACTTATTACAATCTGATGCAAAAGTAGATAACGGGGTCTAAAACTAGACTTTAAGTCTTCTTCTCATATAAAATTTGATGCCCAAAACTTTCCCATCACCTTGTGGTCATATACATAAGTTATATAAATCATTTCCATTGGGTCAAAATTAACACCATCGTAGGAATCGCTTAGCTTATGTAGATTTTAACAAATAAATAAGACAACATGTTTAAGAGTTCTGTTGCAAATCTAAAATGTCCTGAGCTTCCATGTTTGCCATTTACTGGTGCCTAGTGGACTTCTACACATGTGATATAATTTGTGCACCTGTGGTCAAAACTGACCCCCGTCCTGAGGTCCACTAAGTATACATAGACTTGTATAGGAAAATGCATTTAAATCTCTTTTTTACTATTACTTGACATACTGAGTAAAATGTTCATAATGTTTACAAGGTTTAATTGAAGTAAATAATTATTGCATTCATTGATGCGAGATTGATCCAGCGAAGTTTGCATTTTGTTTAATGGCGTTTTTAACGAAGATATGTAAAATCGGGTTGAAAGCACAAAAATGCACATAGACAAAACGAAACACTTCTTAAATCTTGGCATTATGACTATTATTAAATATGTGTTGCCAATAGAGTTAACCCCAAATTAATGTAAGTTGTCAAAGGGAGATAATTATTCTATTCACTAAAAATTGTTGAAATAAAGCTTTACCCCCCTTTAATTGTTAAATGTATGTATGTGTACGCTATTTCTGTAGTCCTAAAATCAGAAAAAAATAAGGGGAATAATTTTCAGTCTAAAAAAATTAACAGTATTTTTGGTTAAAGGTTGCCTTTTGCTTATTTTTTAGTCGATGTGAATTTTGTTTTCTGCTAGAGTTCTTAGTTTAACAAAATACGACCTAGGCGCTACAGTAATAACTTCGAACAATAAATGAACACTAGATATATATTTTTTATGCCTGCCAAAATATCCGCGGAAAAAGATCTAGCTATGTGCTTTTTGACTTATAAGGGCAGGATATGGCCATAATAGCGTTTCAGCAGGATAAGAATTTGATTGTTTTCTAAGAATTTAAGCATCGTTTACGTTAATTAAGTGTCAAGTATCAATTCAAGACAAATGTATATCAATCGCATCCCGCTTTTACAAATTGATACACAGTTACATGTACGGTCCTTTGAAATCAACGCCGAATTGGCTATTTTTTTAGCTTCCAGTGATTTGCCTTAGTGTGCGCGGACAAGGTTCGAGCTTTCGCGTCACAGTTATTTTTTTTTGAATTCTTGCGAGATCGAAATGGCAAATTGCAACATGTACATATCATTTAGGAAAAAGACTTTATTCGGTTTCCAAGGTTAATGGGGAAAACAGCTGATATAAGATAAACTGTCCTAAAGTAAAATGTCAGCCTTCAGTCTGTAAAATCGGACACTGCCTGTATTTGAACTAAGTCTGAGGTCAGGTTACCTACTGAGATTACCCGTATGCAAAGTGTTTCGCTTCTACAGAGTAGTGGCGTCATATAGGAATCACTTCTCCGTCGTCCGTACGTCCGTCACAAAACGTGCCATTTCATCGACACTTTACAGGAATGATCAGTACCAAGTTAAGATCTGCATAGTATCGGCATTTTCCTTTTCGATGATTTTTTGTCAGAGTTATGGCCCTTTACGGTTTTTATTTTTAAAGTTTGTCGACTACTCTTCGTATAATCTCTCGTGCAATTCCAACGAAACTGTACAAGTTTGATCTGTAGCTGAAGTACTTGAGCATATTACACAGTTGAATGATTTTTGGCCGAGTTATGACCCTTGAATAAAAGGGTGTTTTTTGCCTGTTGATAGCTACATAGAAGCTTGTTCTGACTACTCCTTAGAAACTACTGGTGCAATTTCATCCAATCTCAAGTCTTGTTGTGCATAATATCGGCAGTTTTCGGTCAGAGTTATGGTCTTTTAATGATTTTTATTTTTTTAAAGTTTCATGAGGCGACACATGTGATCACTGATCGCTCTTATAGTTGCAATTTTACCCTTAATTTTCTTAGTTTCTTAAATGGACTTGTCTATAGCTTCGATAATTATATCGATTTTTGTGATACATTGTTTCAAGATAAGAAAAACTCAAACTCAGATGGCGAAGCCAATAGTAAACATTCTGGTTAGGCTACAAGGAGGTGTAGGCTGGCCTGGCTCTATACTTGTGCCAGATTTTAATCACTTCCGGGGTTCCAGTGAGATAAAAAGTTCAGAAGTGTATATAAAACACAAAACATATTTTCTTCATTTTTGATTTATTGAACACATATATCAAAACATAGTATTTTATAGCAGTATAGGAATAGTATCTAAGACAATACACATAATCTAAGCTAAGTACTGTATTTTACAAATTTAAAAAAAAAGAAACAGAAGTGACTAGTATACATTTTGAATGAGAAGTAAAAAAAGAAATGTTACGTGTAAATAATTTTATTTATATGCTTCCGAAATTTGGGGATCTAAAATAAGTCTTCAAAATTCATTGCCATAGTTTTTTAAATTCAAAATTTCAATCAATGTAATCATTTAGATAAGAAACAATATCAATATGATGGGTAATTATGAAGTGTTTTTCCTTTAGAAAAAAATATTAATGATGACTCTTGAAATATATATTAATAGGATCTCCTACAATATATTACCGGTATTAAATAGTTTTATGATATATATACAAAATATTACATGTAGTATGTTTTGAATTATATACTAGGTACATACAATGTATAGCTATATTTTAAATTGAACACAAGAGAAAACATTTACACATATTTAAGGAGGTAATTTGTTCGCCTTTGCGCATGCGCAATAAAATTTGACAAAGTTTTACTCGAACATTTTCTCTATTCACTTTAGTGAAATATTTCTTGCACCCTTTCAACAAATTCCACTCAAATGACATTCATTCCGCCTCTATTTCTTTTGTAATGCATATGATTTCTATGTCTCGTTTTGTTTTATGAGTTGCTTTTCAGGATTTCTTCTCATTATTTCCCATCTTCATAACCATAAACGTTTGTAATTTTACAAAAAATCATAAAGAAATATTTAAACAATTAAATTTATTTTTTTAAAATGGTTGCAGATATTTTAACCTAACTAGATAGTTCAAAAAATGCATTTGACTTTAACAGGGTAGTATCATTATAACTTGGTAAAATGCTAGGATATTGGCGGTGCGTTCAATGAATTGAAGCCGATGATTACAATGAAAAATGACAACGTTGACGGAAATGGTCATGACGATGATAGTGATGATGATGGCGATAATGATGATGATGATCATGATGATGATGGCGTCAATGTCGATGATGCAGGAATCGATTTAATCGCTGCAAGTTTAAAGGATGGCAGTGTCCTTATCATAGCGTCCAACTATCATTTTACATATTAAAAGTCTTGATAAAAATGAGAATCCTTTCTGGACAAAAAATGCAATATTTTATTTAGCTATTTAGAAGAATAGTAAGCACTTGCAATCTAAGATCAACAGCGTGCATATTTAAATACTGTTATTATATCAATTTTCTTCTTTTTTTTTTCGCATTTTCTATTGTTTATTTATTTGTTGTAAAATACTATTAAGAAAAAAAGTTTGTCATGAAAGCTGTGTTCCAATATCAAGATTGATCCCGCCCACAAACGGTGTCACGTGACTATATTACTCCGCCGCTTTTGCTTCAACAGGTGCTTCTTCTTCCTCCTTCTTCTCCTCAATCTTTTCCATCTCAACAACCGCATCACCTTCATTCTCCGCCACTGCTGGTGTCTATATATAAATAATAAAATATTTAATATATTAATCATTACGTTAGTTAATTTAGTTTTATATGTAACAAAATGTAGCAGAAGTGTTCTCTTTTAAAGTGTGCCCTATGCTTCTATTTTTATGGTGGCTGATAAGTGCCATGTAGTATTTTCTCTCCGCAGGACGCCGGACGAAAGTAAAACTAAAGTACGACAAAGTGAACATTTTGTCGTACTTTCGCTCCGCAGGGCGCAAGTCGATAATACGACAAAGTCACCACTTTTTCGTATTTCTCCTGCCGCCCCGCAAAGTGCAAAAAAACGAACGTAGACACGACAAAGTCACTTCTTCGCAAAGTGGTACCTGGCGCCCCGCGGAGCAAAGGTAAGACATGGCACCAATCAGCCACCATATATTTCAAACTTAATAAAATGACGTAAAATACTGACCATACCGGCTTCAAGATTTATTAATATATAGAAACTGAATGAATTTATTACTAACTGAATTATAATTACCTCAATTAAGCCGGCTTTGCTGCTGTTCATCTCTTCAGAGTTGCCTGTTTTCTTGGGCTTCTCGGATGGCTTTCTGTGCTTGAGAACGAATTTCTTGGTTCTGCTGAAGCTAGCACCAGCTGCGAACACGTACTCGTACACTAGGGCAGCAACAAGGCCTCCAATGATTGGTCCAACCCAGTACACCTGGAATTATAAAATATAAATAATTGTTAAAGGATCATTGAAAAATGCCTTTTTGAATTTTTAATACTGTATTACTAAAATATATTCAAAAGGGCTGCTTTCACATCGATTATGTTAAGTTTTTTTTTTATTCCAAGCATTGCTACTCGCATTTGCTTTTAAATGGGGTTTTTGTTGCAAGTTCACAATAAAATTATGTATATACAACAGATTGTAAGGCTAAATTTATATGCATGGTGTCATTTCATTATTTTATCAGATATACAGTCTGTATAACTAATAAAATAATAACAGTAACAGTAGTGTCCCCAATACGTCAAGTATAACACCTTTTGTAATTTTGTCATTTAGATGAACAAGATTGTGCACGTATCAAATTGGTTAAAAGAGGTAAGGTTTCCAGCATTTTTGACCTATTTAAGTATTTATGTCTATTTATCACCCCGCTATACATGTATATGTTAAGGTCAAAGAGGAATTATTTATGAGACGGACAATTCTGAAACGATTAAAGGCGCATAAATCCTACTAAATTGGCTGGTTGAATGGGAAATGTTTCATTTATATGACATCGTTTATGTAAATTATCATAATTGTTTTTGACAGATTAATGTTCTGGAATTTCATTTTTATAGCTTTATCATCGTTGGAATGCAGAATGTAAACAAAAAGGTCACGTGATTCGTAAAGGGTCATTTTTAATAGCAACCGCAACAAACATTATAAAAAAGTTTATAGATACTCCTTATTCGTTTTAAAATTAATCGCCAATTTTATATCTGTTTTAGCGAGTTGCATTTACTACTACGTTAGGAAATGCCAAATGGCGATGACCGCAGTGGAAGACAGGTTGCTTCATGATGTCTCTAACCACATATGCACAAAACAGCGTGCCATTGGTTTTCAATCGGGTAGTCGGTCACTTTCACAGAAATTGGTATAAATTACTGGTTCGTTGTCCTGAAAAACCTATTCGATCGCCAAAGATATGACCAAATATGAGTATTTACCTAACATCTCACCCTTTAGAGGCCCATTTTGCCACATAAATGCATTTATTTCTATTTCTCATAAGCCTTTTAATTTTAGTGTACTTTTATAGTATCTAAAGAGTTACACATTGGCATATTTCGAACTATCTTTTTCATCTGTTGCTTTTTGGTATAAAGTACAGTCAATGTGAAAAAGTATTTTTAGTGAAAGTCAAAATACTACTTTGTTTACACTTTGCTACTTTTATGACAAATTATGTCACATTTATTCTACAAGCATCTTAAATTTCTCTAAAACCACCGTTTAATTAAAAACTTCATGTTTAAAGAAGTAAAAAAAAATATTTTTTCTGAGTCATAATGTGCCTTTAACTTGTAACAAAATATGCTTTAAAACTTAGTTTATTTATTTACCTTAAAATGTACAAAACAGACCTACAGTTTAATATATGAAGATAGCAATTTATGTGCCAATGTAAATTATGCAGGCCTTGAATATTTAACCTTTTCCTAACTCTATATTTTGTGGCATTTACAGCTGGATTTTTACTGCAACAAAACATATACTTTAATCTAATTTTCCTGTAATTTTGCCTCAATTTGCCCTGGAATGCTTAAAAGCTGATTTCCTCAACGAGATAACGATATAGCAGGTACGGATACTGGGGTTAAGTTTAGATATGCCTGAAAAATCCCTACAAACTGGGATAATGTCCGTCTAGTAATATACTGACTCGTATCTTTAATTACTACCATCACATAACAACGTTCTTTCAAAATACATTTTATTAGTGCACAAGGCATGTTTACATTGAGAGACCAATTTATATGTGTACTTTGCCTAAAATAGCTTTACGGTCCTTGAATCTATTCGAGTCGCGCCCTCCACTTAAAGTGATTGCCATCAAGAGCAAATTCTAGCAAAAACAAAGTAGTTTTTAAGTTTGCAAATGAATAGGCTATTTAAAGATGAAGGCTTCAAGAGAAAAGTAATTTTAGCATCATTAAGTCCAAGGTTACTACTACTTTTTTTTTTACAAACAGCAAATCTTAAGTGAGTAATTTCCGTTTCTGTAACTCTGTTTATATACAGATGCTTGTACAAGTTATCTTATGTAAGTGATATTAAGACACCACTATCGCCATCATAAAATATAAGAAGCGGAACTTTACCGGCATCTTATCAAACGTTGAAGATATTAAAACATAAAATTAGCATCAGAATTATCTTATCTTTACCAAATCTAGATAAAAACTAAAATAAAGATATACTTCATCATGAATGGAACATATTTCAGTATCATATACTATGCTCATCCAACATGTCCATACGACAGGACTGATATGTATGTAATAAAAGAATTATTTGGTTCCTGGAAAGGCGTAGATTTTTCTTACGGGCGAAAGACGGAATTTTAAGATATATACCCTTTAACACATACAGTGGCTAAAACACATGTAAGGCCCGCACCGCCCCCCCCCCCCCCCGAGGGCCAATCATACTTGAATTACCTTAAAATCATTTAAGTCTTTTTTTAAATCATTCTTTAAATTTTAAATACCGTTGACTTATTTGATTCAGTGTAAAAAAGCTTAGAAAAGAAATCGCGACTGAAAGCGACTGAATCTTTATTTGATTTGAAAGGTAGCCCCATCGTCCTCCTTTTGACTCATTATATCTTAATACCCTTGATTTATTTACTTTTATACACAAACATTAGAAAAACAGCCACAGAATCCGCATTTTATCTGCTAAAGTCTTTGAAATGCAACTTTGCTTTTGCTACACTGTTTTGTCAATTTACTTATTTCTCCCACTTATTGCGGTTAAATCAACAAACGCACAAATCTTCCGTGTCTCATTGAAAAACAAGTGCGCCGATTATTTTACAAAGAATAAAACATGCACAATTGTATTCGCATAAATTTTAGTCATTTATCTTCTTTTCATCCTATATTAACCTCGTTTCTTCGAAAGTTCCTTTGATGTAGATATTATTTTCCTTTCAAATTGACGTGTGCGGTAGCGGAAACTCTGCAGTGTCTGAAACTAACCTTGTCATGCATGCATAAATGCAGTCTATATTTTAATGTTATGGGTGTCTGAAATTAAATTTGTCCTGCATTTATAAATCTATATTTTGTTGCGTTTTTCATGTTTTTATAATATATGTTTTTGTGGATTTTTGTTGTTGTTGTTGTTTCTTCTTCTTTTGTTCTTTCAGTCCAAGAAAATGAAAAAAAAAAAAAAAAAAAAAAAAAAAAAAAAAAAAAAAAAAAAACACTGCAACAAGCAACAACCGTTTACAGAAAACAATGTAAATTATAAAAGTTTACTCATATTTAAACATATCTATTAAACTCAGGTTAGTTAGTACGTTTATATAGTCTCCCGATTTATCCCTGATCAGCAGATAAAATCTAAAACGTTATAATACATGTTTTATATCGCTGATATAATCGACCTTTCACCTTATAAAAATATTAGTTTGCGATAACATATGACATGTTGGCACTTAATAACACGATTAGTGATCAAGATTAGATTATAGTTTGCTTCATTTTCTTGGGTTTTATTTTATACTGTAACCTACAAAATATAAAAATGACCCACTTTACGGAGATAGTATAAAAGTTGGGCGTGATTTTTTCACCGTAACAAAATCTAACTTGAATACATGATAAATTAGAACGAAATCAGACAATGCGTTTGCTGAATTTTCAATGATCCGCTAAATACCACATTGTTACGGGAGCGCGTGCTCACGAGCACAAATATGAAAGCGAGACCATAAATTTGCAGATGCGCTTCCGTTGAGAAAAATCTCGTAAAATGACTTAACAAAAGGATAAAGACGGCCAATGATTGGAGTAAAAGATTCAAGACGTATCAAATTACAGGTCTCTGAACAATATCGCGAATTTCATCAAAGCAGCGTTAATTCAGGCCAGCCCGAGGCTTGCTATCACATTAACATGCCAGTAACCCCTATGGGCCACGCGGTATACCGTGTAAAAGGGGTCGGTTATCAGATACGCCATCTGTTTTTACTGCTTGCTTTATGATAACATTTTCACTGACATGATAGCTATAGTAAGAAAGTTTTGCTTCCAAGGAAAGTTTCATCTGATAAAATATAATAGAACTTTGTTATCTATGTACAAGAATTGTCATTCCAAAAACATTAATTATGTTTATACTTTAAAAATGTATAACCCTAGTATTGAATTGAGCCATTTGCGCCTAAATACTTACAAACATTTAAACATTTTATCTTGTCTTCATTATAAATGCACTCTGTACTCTTGCGACCGATTTATTTTAAATAATGCACCGAACACTTTTAATGAGTTTGGCAGACTTTCAGTGACCCAAATACTTTACGCTACAAGCGGAAGGAATGCTGTTTCTTACGAGAGAACGCTACCTTACTCAACTCAATGTAAACATTGAGTCTGTAACTTATTAGAGAACACTTCATAATTACAACCGCGGTTTCATGTTCTGCCCCTTGACACACTTGTAATATTCGAGACCCCTTTGATCTCGTCCAAAATTAGAATACATTCCAGCATGTAAAAGTGGCATATGCTCCCAATTAAGGAATATTTGGACCCCCTACCTCCTTATTTCCACATCTGTGGATCAAGAATTCGATTGATGTGAAAAAAATATGACATTTATGCATAATCTAATTTATTAGATGAAGAGGCACGCTTCACACGAGAACAAAAAAAGTCTGAATTTTTTAGCCTCCAATTTAATTTCGACATTCTTATTTAACTCGAATATTGCATTACTCGATTACATTAATAATACATACCAACACATGTCGCCTATTTTGACATGCATTGAGCTGTTATTATGTTTATTAATTTAATTTTTTTCTACGATCATTTTAATCATAATCAATAATTGATTTCATTTAAAGCCTTGCAACGACCAGCTTCTGTTGTAGGCTAGATACATATTCTTAAATTCATCATTTTTTTACCCCAAAACGGTAAGTTAATGAAGTTATGCTATATATACTTTCTACTATAAAAGTATGGTGTTTTTTCAAAGAGTCAAAGAATTGAAATACTAGGTTCATGTACTAAATTACAGGGAAAAGCTCATGTGGATGTACATATTTCAATTTTTGTTCGGACAGCTAATTTATAACACATGGGAAAATACGAAGAGTGTACATATTTCAATTTCAGCTTTGTCTGGACAGTGCATATGGGGCGATACTAAGGATATTTTTTTATTTTCAACATAGTCTTGGCAGGTCACAAAGGGAAATACGAAGGTGGTAATTCGTGTTAAACATGTTCGAGGTATCCGTGATTAAGTCATTGGTAACTAATGTACTCCTGTATTGTAATTCTCTCTCAATAGTGAAAGACAATCACAATAGAGGATAATAACAAAAAAAAAACTAAAAAAGACAGAACAAAACTGTCTTTCGTAAGAGAACGTCAGAATAAATCTTTTTTTTCTAAATTATTTAGGCAATCTGCCATTGTTTATGATCCGGGCATATTTGTTTTATAAATTACCACAAAATATTTATATTTTCTTAACACAACCCAGCTTGATTTGAAAACCAGGCGTTATCTGCAGTTTAAATATAATTTCCGAGATAAAAAGACCGGTCTGATCTAATTCTACTGTTGAACAAGAGCAATGTCTTTAAAATATTTACCCCCCCCCCCCCTCTCCATTAGTTGTTTTGCTTTAGATTAAGTTAACTTGTGTTTTCTGGCAATATTTTTATGACCTTATTTTTCTTTTTTCTTTTTTTAAATTAATCTTTATTGCACTTCGGCAAAAGTCTAGACTTATAAGGGCAATTTTTTCGTCTTTCTTTAAATTTAAAATTATTCATATGTTGCGAACGAGAAAAATATCTCAAATATTTCGACTGATACCCTTACTGCTATCAGATATTTTTTGAAGGTCAAATTCTTTCTAGCTATGGCATGTGGTCTTTCGTTTACTTTTTTGTGGGGAGGAAACGTTAGCCGTAAGAATAACACAATTATGATAAGTACCACTTGAGATTTAATGACCGGGAGAAAAAAAGTCTATGAAATTTCTACAACCCTTCTAAGAGCCCGTCTACACCTATCCAAGTCTTGAATGCAAGTATCATATTCTCTTGTATTGGATAGTGTAGACACCCTACTTGAATGAGTTTTAAAGAGAAATTATGTGACATCCAAGAAGATAATTCCTTGCAAGAAAGTTAGAACACGTTCTATTTTTCTACAAGTTTTTGGCTGTCAAGACACTGATAACACCGGTTTGACACAAAACATGTGCCCGGAGGTTTGATAGTGCTGTTATTTTTATTATTTTCTGACTTTTTGTTGTTGATTCAGTGTATATGCCCTTTGAATTTCATTAAATGATTACAATGTCTTGGTCAAAGGAACAAACCAATACGCTGATACACAGAAGAGCAAAAATAAATAAATAAATAAAAATAATTTACATTGTAAAAATAAAAAAGAGCTCTTTTTCAAGTAAAGTCAAAATGGATTTAAAATGATCTTGTTCATTAAGTGAATAACTTTCCTCAAATAAAGAATTTGCATCAAAATAATTTTTTGTCACATATTTTCAATTTTAAAAAAGAATGAACGGATTTCATTAACTCCATTCTGTTTTAGCTAATTGCATCATTTTCCCGCTTTTTTCACATATTTTACAGAAACATGATAGTCTTGCAAAGACAAAGGTATAAATCCTGGGCTATCTTAATGAGACATTTCAGTAAAAATTGTGCCTGAAAAAATGTTGAAAGGGCCATTTATTTAGCTTATCTAAATGTGACATGTAAGAAACTTGAATAGGTGTAGACACGGCCTAAGGTTTTGCTATAAAATTGGGAAGGAATGCGTACAATTAGTATTTATACTACATGAGACCTTGTACTTAATGAATTCTTTTTGCGATATCCTCATTTGTAATTAGAATAATGGTTGCTCCCGCCGTGTGGTGATACAAAGGCATGTGTGTACAAAGGCATGTAGGAAATTTGGGGGAGCCAAAAAAAAATATTATGGAAAATGTATGTTAAGTCTATATTTATAGAAAGATTTCTGTCGTGGACGTAAAAATGTTTCACAGTCAATGTGAATTCTTCATTATATTTATATCCAGTGAGATTAGTATATATCTCATTACACTCATCTCACTATTTTAATTACTACTGGAAATTAATTACTAAACAGATTTTTTTTAGAAAGAGGTATTTGTTTTACATTATGCCACCTCGATGATTTTTTTGTAGTACCAATCTTTCCAATGTAAATGATCTCATTTTGAAAAACCGTGAACTATTTCGAACTGTTAGTGTGTCAGTCGTTCCGTTACCATCACGGAAGTTACCAGAGAAACAAAAAGGCACCCCTACATATTTCATACGTTATCGTTTCAACAAATTTGTTTAAAATAACCATATGCCTGGCCAGTGTTCTTTGTATCTACACCGACCATACATGCCTGTTTATGAATCTAAGGGCATTCATCATTCCGAACGTAAACATTACCCTGCCCTGTACTTTATCAAGGTACTTAAACACTCATTATAGTAGAAGTATTCCAGAAATCAGCCACAGACTGTTCCTATAGTGTACATGTATTTATAAAGTTTGTTTTAGCACTTAACTCTGGTTTGGGCGGGCACTTCTAAAATTGTTAGAACTCTTTGGCACACAAAGTACACCATACATGCAAGAACAGGGCATCTCATATCGTAAGTGTCTTATTGCTTGCTTAGTGGCAACATATTGTATTTATAAATGTGTATGAACTTCACTTTCATGTAACAGGTATAAAAGCATTTGCCCTTTTAATTATTCTATTTTGTGTAAAAAATACTACTTTAGACCTAAATGAAACTAATGCGGACTCAACAGCTGGGTAGCCCGTTGTTCTTAACAAAAAATAGTACCTAATCAATCATAAAATATTAGAAAAAAAAATCAACTGGACATCTGTTGCGTGTCGGAGAGCATTAAATCACAGTTTCTAGAAATTTAAGCTGGAATACCAAGGTCCCTTTGTTCCAGGGGATTTATTAGTCACAATTCCTGATATTTTCTCGGATTTCACCACCATTATTCCTTTGAGTCTTTCAAAGCGCTTCACGTGCGGTGTTAATTAGATGCTTACGGTAATACCGTTGTTATTCTAATTAATGATACGGAGGAAACAAAACAACAGTATTGTCACAAGAGACCTTTATACGTTTCCATACACGATAAACAATATATGATTAGAGGTTTATTGTTCCTTGGCATGTACAAGAGACTAATTTGCATGACAAAATATTTTTAGCTCAATTTCCAGGAAAATTACCCCCCTTTATTTCAGAGATTTGCCATGAATGAGGAAAAGAGCAGCTTATTTGGCAAATTCTCTACAAGTGAAATGATATAAAATGAGGAAATAAGTATAATTTAGATAAAAGCTTGCCCACTCTTTATCTCGTTTTAGTGGCTGACATACTGATATTAATATGCAGATATTTCTAAGGTTTCTGATAATACAAAACCCCTTTCCCATATGTTCAGGGTTAATAAACTGGTCAAAGTATGGTTATCGGAAAGTGAAATTTAGTAGTTTGAACTGATTTTACTTTCTACTATTCTTTTGCAATGCTATATACAAAAATACTCCCGACTTACCCAGTGGTTGACCCAGATGTTCTGTACGACAGCTGGCCCAAAGGTTCTTGCGGGGTTCATACTAGCCATGGTGTATCGGAACTGGAAGACAAAAATATCAAAGAGTTGAAAACAGAATTTCAAACATTACAGGTGAAGCTTTCAACATGCGCTTACGTGTTGTTTTTTTTACATCACTGATTTTTTTACGTTGGTGCTTTTATTGTAGTGACTATGGTAATTCTTTAACAAAGGATTTGAAAATCAACTCGTTTGACAGTCGTTCAAATAACGGTATTATCAGTAACAGTTAATTATACACCGATTCGATCTTAATATTAATGGCGATGCGCGTGGACTTTTATAGAAACTAGAAAAAAAATCGATAATTGTTTATGGACCTAATTATTGGATGCTGTAGCAGTGTTTATTAGAAAGAATCTATTGCTCTTTAACAAAATCAAGATTTGAAAATCTGACAATGACATGGTTCTCTTTCCTGCGGGTTTAAGGACAAAGAGAATCAAAATACTCTCGTGAAAGTAGCGAGTTGTCATGGCAACAGAGTCAATTTAAATAAATTGATCGTTTACGTTCATCATTAGTCTTTGTGAATTGCATCCGTTATTACTTTACAATGACTAATTTCAAACGGCCACTTTAATGTAAAGAGAAAATTTAGTTTGTGAGAATTTGTTGGGTTTATAAAGCCCACGGAGGCAATAGAATGTGAATTATATGACAGTCTCATTCATTAATGCATTTTTTTTTCTTTAAATCCCGTTTAAACGCTTTGATACATTTTAATTAAAATTGATATAGATGATACCGGAAATAAACGCTCTCCACGATATATATAAATTGCTTACATTATATTACTACTAAACATTATAGTTGCGATTCTCTAACATCGATTTAAAAAATCGATTAATGAATTAGTTTGAATCATTTGTAAGAGGGGTTGGGAGGTTGCATCAATTTAATTTCTGCGTGTCACATTCTGACAGGGGGTGATAATGGTTAAAATGAGACACCCCTTGGGCTTTTTAGCATTTAAACATACATAATTAATGATAAATTGCTAGGGAAGAGCAGATTCATTACTGAAGCCTTGTCCCCTGATTTAATAAAAAAAATACTTTTTTCTCACAACTGTTATTTTGACATTTAAACGCTCAAGAAAAATTTGCAAAAGAAATAAAATCAAATAAATATAAAAGTAAGCTAAACTAAAGAACGAAGTTTCATTGGTTGATAGTATGCCAGATGTTCTTCTGTGAGAACTAACACGAGGGCGCGGAAATCAAATAAAAAATGCTACGATAGTAACAAAGAATTTTGGCGCCAGACACTGTGCGAAACGCGTTTTTAACTAGTACCAGATAGTCATATTTGTGATAGTGCAGTGATAGTTTTAACAAAACATGTGACGAATATACTATCAAAATATGGAGAAAAAAAATCATTTTTATACTTATATGTTAATTGGTAAATAGGCTAAATAATGATATAATATTATTAGATCAAAATTACATTTAAAAATATAATGAAAATGATGTTCAAAAAGAATGAGTGAAACTTACGGCAAATAAATGTCCGGCGACGACGGCGAGCGCAATGGTCAAGGGAGCGGATCCGCTAAGATCATTCCTCTTGTCATCGGTTGAAGCAAGCACAGTGAACACAAGCACAAATGTGATGAGCAACTCAATACCAAATGCTTGAGCCTCCATCAAAAGATCCGACACCTTTGTAACTCCCATAGTTGCAGCATCAGCGCCGGTTAATCCCCTCAAAATTCCTGCACCAGAAATTGCTCCAACTAATTGTGCAAGAATAAAGAAAAGGCCTCTTACGACGGAAGCCCGTCGGCATACCACTGCGGCGACGGAGACTGCTGGGTTGAAATGTCCGCCACTGACATGATTGAAACACCATACCATTGATCCGTAAACAAGTCCAAATGTAAGGGCTATTTGTACAACACTACCTTGACCGGATACAGCGGCGGCATTGTTGTCAATAGCTCCACATCCGAATAAAACCAAAAATAGGGTTCCGAAAAATTCTGCTGCCACAGCGCGGTAAAGTGCGGGCTTACACAGATCTTCGATATTTTCATGCACCATTTTATTCATGTTCTCACATCCAATGCTAAGAGAAGAATGGTAACGCTTTACTTTGAATCTGAAAAGGGCGCGGTTTTACTAGGCTAATTTCACTGCCTGGGCTTTCTGAACTCCTATTGGCGAGTGATTCAAAAATCGCTACCAGACTCCGGAATTTAGTTAAACAGCGCATGCGCGGATAGTCCGTAATTGGAGGCATGACCCTTGAACTTTAACGCGTCTTCTGAAAAAATTATGGTAAATTGTACTACGCGTAGTAACACCATGTTTCTTTACTACAGAATGTTTTAGTTCCCAGGCTTAACAACAAAACTATATGAGAACTGTATGAAAAGTGTATTTTTTTGTTAATCGGTCAAAAATATTAATGAATGTTCGTTTTAATGTAGGTTAAGTGTGCGGGAACACCATATTATTGTTGTTACTCTTAAAAAATTGTTGTTTTAAGGAATGTGACAGAAAGTATATATATCACGGTAAATAATATATAAGAATTTATCAGTTTCACAGTGATTAAGCTATCGCTGTATACGCAAGGTATTTCATATGGAGTGAACAAACTCGATCGTTTCTCACATATTATCGTAATATCCAACTAGTTAATATGAAACCCTGCACGTATTCCCTTTACCAAATGTTTTCCTTTGTTAACTGTGAAAATTTCTATTCTCTATGATACGAAGATAATATGTTTTCATAGGTTTTACGAGCAGTTTAAATTTTTCTTATAACTAATATTGAAGAAGTTGATCCGTTCGATTTATATGATGATGATGATGATGATGATGATGATGGCTGTAATGAAGAAAGTGATAATAATAATATCAATAATAATAATAATGATAATAATAATAATAATAATAATAATAACAACAACAACAGTAATAATAATAATAATAATAATGGTAATAATAATAATAATAATGATGATGATGATGATAATAATAATAATAACAGTAATAATAATAATAATGATAACAATAATAATAATAATAATAACAGTAAAAATAATAATAATAATGATAATAATAATAATGATAATAACAGTAATAATAATAATAATAATAATAATAATAATAATAATAAATAATAATAATAATAATAATAATAATGCCAGCCAGTAAAAAGAACTACATTACACCTATATAATACTTTTCCACTAAATGCATTCAACTTGTTATATTAGTAAATAAAAAGCATTATAATTACTAAATGATGAACTTTTATTTTTTTAATTTTTCCTACATATTTCCATATTCTTCTTATGTGTGTTATATTTCCTGTAAAATATAGAAGGTACAATGAAACAACTGTGAATTATATAACACGAGAATACGTTAATAATTATTTGTTTCAATACTTAAACACATTAATTTTGGCTTTAAACTACACATATTTGCCAAAGATTACATAATATGCCGTTAGTTTGCCAATTAGATGCAAGAAGTTACCAACTACAATTTAATCATTTGTTAGAGAAGAAAATCACTTTTAAATCACTTATGTGGCCCCTGTGTCAGATCAAAGGCACTAAATTTCACATTTTTACACACAAAAAAATGAAATTTTCGTCACACACCAGATTGTATTGGTGTTTACATTCACACGAGCAGACGTAAACAAACATTATCTTTCGCCATAACAAATTATTGAACCTGCTACCGTACACCCACTCTATGTTTATATTCGGGTCTTTGTTTGAGGGGCTGCGATCGATTTAATCGATTTTTAGTGGTGTAAAACCTTTGATACTAGTCGCGCGCTGGTCATTAACCTACAACCAGCTGGCAGCCATTGAAGCTACCAACGCGACCAGTGCAGATCAAAATCAGCAGGCACGCCCGTGCCATCTAACTCTAATATACAATGTACACTATTCAGATAGTTCATCTGGAGATCTAGGTATCATCTAAATTATTCTTTGAGTGGCATGACTCATGACATGTCCAGGGTGGGGAAAGAGACGAGGGAGGGGGAGGGGGAAGGGAGGGTAGGTGCTCGTGCTTAGTGCGTTTGAATACAAATAGACAATGATTTAACTCAAACGAAAAAAAATACTAATTGAAGTTACTTCCGTAACACAATATATGGTCCCGTTTTGCGAAAATGTTTTACGGAGGCATTTTCAAATGTTTAAAATTTGAAAACAAACAATGAACCAATTCTCACAAGTCTAGCGTTCATACAACAATTTCTTTAGCACGTGTTAATCTTAAATGACCGAATAAAGATTGGCTAGAACCCGAGCACCTACATGTATTGTGCCGGTTATAAATTTTACTGTTTTTACGATTGAGAATAACTTCTAAGATGTAAAAAACATAGACGTTATCAGGGAAAAAATACGCACACAAATTCTTTACATAATCAAGAATACTTAAAATCAGTTATTCCAATCAGAAAAATACGCTGATAATTTTCTTCATCGTGACCTTCATAAATTCTTCGTCGATGTCCTGTTGTGTTTATGGGAAATTATTCTTAGAATCTAAAATCTCTTTGCCAAAAAAATGGGATCTCGCATAAAATCAAAGCACAGAAGGCGCTGAATTTGTTTGGGTCTCAGAATGTAAGAAAGGTGCAGGTTGTGAGATTATATATTTAGTGCCACCAATGCTTTCCAGCGTTTTAATTGTAGTAAATTGGCTATAAGACTAATTGCAACACTGATATTCAATCCAATGTTTATTTGACTTTAACAATTTAAAAAAATGAGTTACCTTTACTGGGATTTGAACTCCAGACCTCTCGCTTCCTAAGCGAGCCCGAAAACCCTTCAGCCACGGTGAATTTATATGTGAACGGCCTGAAGAAAACCATATTATTCTAAATTAGGGCTTGTAACGACTTTAACTGTTGTTTAACACAGATGTAAATAATCCTGGAGCTTACTATAAGCATGTATATTTATAAAGAATCAAAGGGCTGCAAGTTCTGTGGTATTTTCTGATCTTTGCAATCTAAATTGTACTGTATATCTGTATGCATTTTCCTGTATAAGTTTATTTTTATGTATTATAATTCCTTTTGTAAGGCACCAGAGTTTGATACATACGGAATTCTGCATAACTAGAGTTGCATCAAAAAATCATTTATGTTCTTTTTTTACGACAGCCACACTTTATCCTTGTATATCATGGCTACTTCCTTAACAAAAACACTTAAAAAAAAGAATTTAACAAAAAAAAAGTTTCCTCGACTGGGATTCGAACTCGAGACCTCTCACTCACGAAGCGAGCGCGTTACCACTGTACCACGGAGAAATTATACACTTATCGTCTGAATAATATCTAGTCATTCTAAATTTAGAACTTCCATCGCAGTTCGGGTTTGTAATCCTTATTAATTTCGAGGTATTTTGTTCAGGGTAAACCTGTTGTTTAAAATTGAAGTAAATATCTTAGCGAAAATCCTCTCGCCCAAACAGTCCGACATGTAGAATCTATATATTCCACTACTCGGTTTGTGTAGTATTTGGTAATCGATCGGCATGGCTAAAAATAGTATTTTCATTGATAAAATCATATTCATCCGCGTAATTTGTGATTGTGCATTTATTGACAATTCTATAAGACAACGCTATTGTTTAACTTTAAATGCGTTGTAATTTGTTGGATACTTGTAACAAAATAAAATATTTCTTTCTTTTAAATCGCTAGTTTTAAGCTGTTTTGAGAACTACTTGTTGTTAGGTTTGTCGTAAACTTATGTGTCAGAGATTGAATGTCCGCTTTGTATTTAGTTATTTTCGATCAGAAAATACAATAAAACAGTATTAGAAATCTTCGACCATTCGGGAATTACTTTGCTTGAAAATTGATGCGCCTGTCTTTGACCATCTTTACGCAGTGATCTCCCCTGAATTTTTCGGCTTTAGTGTACATACAAAAGGGAAGTAACCGCTGCAAAAAAAGTGGACTACTTTCGGCATTTGCAATTAACAACATTAGACTCTGAAATTTCGCTACCATTATTTGTTTGGTCTGACGACCCAAACAAATAAAAACAAGAAAAGAATCTTTACATCAATAGTGTTATTGTGAACTTTAAAAAATGCTGAGCTCAGAGATATTTATTTATATATTTATTACATTTTAAATGTATGAAGATAAGCTTGATCACCTATCGGCAATATTTCAACCACACGATCACTGAAATAGTTTCGGGACGGGAGGGAACAGGGGGCGTAACTCTCCCATAGTTTACTGTATGCTGAACAATATTGTCTGTTTTTTTCAAGTTACGCTTATCTTACTGAGTATATAATTAACTACATTTTCGAATTATTCTCTCTCTCTTTCTCCCGAATGTAGAATTTGCTTGTTATTAATGACCGGGGTAAATATTTTTTTGGTGCCGCACGTGCCTGAAATTAAACCTAGAATGGCATACGAGTTCTTCTTTCGAAACTTAGTCCACCCAAAATATCTTAACACTCTATCGTTTTAATGTCACATATCACAAATATTTGGCATCCTCTATCTATTTCATAATTTTTCTCTTTTTTTAAACAGAAAAAATTGCAAGGTTTAGAATTACAATTTGTTTTTGGTATAATTTCAGAACCCAATATTAGCAGGAAACAGCAGAAGACATGGCAACTCTGCTTTTCGCGTTATAGCCTTTAAATTCCATGAGGATGTCGCCTTAGTTACAGTTAAAAGTCTTTTAAAAACTTTGTCCTTCAAACAGCAACACTAAATTCTTTTTTATGTATTTTTTTATCATCCAAATCAAACATGGGTGATTTTTGTGAAGGTTCCAAACTTTGAATTATCATTTTATTCTTATTACTTTTCATAGTTAAAATTATGCGAATATGTAAGGATTTTAAGCCGTCTCTAAAATAAATCATTCATTAAATATTTTAATGTATTATTATGTGCTTATATTAATGATGATATTAAAACTCATATAGCGGTTAATTCAATCAGATGTTAATCACTGGAATCTAGGATTTTCAGCTATTTTGACATTAATAATCCCGCCAATGTGAAGACACCTGACATTAATTAGGTTCCCACGCGTCACGCATGCGCAATCCTAATATTGATAGTACTACACGCGTTACACCCCAGATGGTCACTCAATAATCCCGCATCCATTATAGAGCGGCCGTTTACAAATTATTAAGTTGTTAAA